TCTCTGAGGCACTGGGCTTTGCACAGCCCTAAACCAGAGCACTATAGATTCTGTTTGTCAGAAGACCCAAGAACGTAAGTCCCATTCAGAGTCTGAAAATTTTGTCTTAGTCTGCTCCAGCTGCAATAACAAAATATCACAGACTGGGTAGTTAAAACAACATACATGTATTTTCTCACAGTTCTGGAGTCTAAGATCTGGAGTACCAGATCAAGGTACCAGCAGAATCTGTGTCTGGTCAGAGCTCTCTTCCTTGTTTGCAGAGGGCTAACTTCTTGCTGTGTGCTCATAAGCCTTTCCTATCAGTCACACTTGTGGACAGATCTGTCCTCTTCTTATTAGGACACTAAACCCATCATGGGGATCCATTCTCATGACCTCTTCTAAATATAATTACTTCCCAAGGGCCCCATCTCCAAATATCATCACAGTGGGAATTAGGGCTTTAGCAAACATTTAGGCCATAATAGTAGCAAACTTAAGAGAGTTCATTTCTTTAATAGTTTAGATATATTCCTCTAGAATTTCAGAGTTCGAAGGCCATTTAATACAATCATGCTCATATTCTACAACAAGTGGTCACCCAGCTATTTCCTGGACCTCTTTTCCCACCCTCTATGGGTAAAATGTGCTACACTTCTAGAGGTATTTGAGGGGGCATGCCGATGGTATAACTTTGCCTCCTGCAGTCTCCACAACAAGGACAGATGTGTGGCAGGTGTACGGTGTCTGTACCACACAGAATGACACCCTTCCTTCTTCCACAGCGCAATCCTCTAGCATTTTGCACACAGATCCCTCCCTTGTTACAAAAATAACACAAAGGGGGATGGGCCATATAATCTAAGCTTCTAGATCCAATGGTACAACTTATCTCCTTCCCATAATGACATTCATCCTTTATGATCCTTATCAGATGCAAATGTCTATGAGGAAGCATGCCTGGCCTGACACAGGACAGAATGGTATTACCAAAGGGCATGAAGTGGGAGCACTTCCAAGCAACTGAGACTTTAGGAGGATATACATCCCCTCCTTTCCCTCAGCCCAGCTGTTCTTCCAGGAAGGACCCAGGATGGATCTCTAACGTGCTCTAGTATCTCCACTAAGCTTCTACTGAATTCATCTTGCCGCATGCAAGATGCAATGCAGGGTGAGAGGAGGAAAAGGAGAGGGTTGGGAAATGCCAACTCTCATTTCTCCCTAGTCCAGAGTCACAATCGAATTTAAATTGTCTTCTGTGGTATGCCAGTTACGTGTGATGAGATCCTCTCCACCCGCTGCCACACACATCCCCAACTGGATCTTGCATAGAATTTTGGAAAGGCAAAGTAGAAATATCAGGCCTTGCAAAGCAAGTACCCACTTGTGTTATTAAATGCAACTCAACAGTTAGTATTCCACTGTCCCATAGGCTTCAAAACATAAGCCACAACTCAGAAGTTAAGAGTCTCCTAGCCACTTCCTCCAGAGTGTTTCTGCTTCCAATTCTTACCGTCAAAGGGCATAGCAAGACCATTGAGTGGCTATGGCCCCAGGCTGCTTCAAAAGCTAACAGAAATTCCCTCCACCTTGACGGTGGCACCAACTCCACTCTGCCCCTCTGGACCACATCACTTCTGTGATGACCTACAACTCACAGGAGAGCAAGATTTAGTGAATGAATAAGCAGAGTCCCCTCTGCTCTCTGTCCCTGCTGTAATCCTCACCTCTCAGGCAGCCCCATGTCAGCACCCACCATGCTGGGCCCATGTGAGCTATAGAGGTAAAAGGGCCAGAGCCCTGGAGAGCAGTGCTTTTAATCACAATCAATTAACTACTATATGCAGTATTTTATCAATACAAAAGGAAAACTGACATGAATCATTAAAGATGATCTTCTCATTTCTAATTTTGAACACACCCCAATGCAAAGAAGAAAACAAGGATCATTTCTGTACCCCCTTTCACATAGAGCCGCCACATACTAGTTTCACCTCCCACCTAAGGTGAGACTAATTCTCTCAAGCTCAAGCCACCTTATACCTCCTTGCTTTAGCTCACACTGCTCCATATATTTGGAATCCAGCCTCAGAGCTCTTCTCTGCCCTGAATACCTCACTGTTCCTGTGAGTCATCAGAAACCCCTCCTTCTGCCCTCCCACTGCATAGGCTTTAGTATACACCTGACATTTCCCACATCCCACGAATCTTGTATTAGGAGAGTTCCTGCTCTGCTAGATGATGCTTCTAAGAGGCAGATTCTATATCTCATGTGTCTGACCCTGCCAATATCAAGGAATGACACCATGCACACCTGGCTAAATAAACAGTTAATGATGCTAAAAGCTCTCACCTTTCACTCTCTCACCAGTGTTTGTGAAGTGACTTCCATGTGCAATGTAGGACACCAGGTTCTAAGGATCAACAGAAGATTAAGTATCTTGTAGGGGAGGCAGCCACACGGTGATGTATAATGTAAAGTGTAAAGTGTATCAATGAGAGTGTCCTGGACACCCAAGAGAGAAAGAATGACTATTAGGAACAGGAAGGCAAAGCCATGTTTGGAGTTTGCAGGGGCTATCTCATGCTTCTTCTAGGCCTGTGCTCGTGGACCAAATGTGGTGGGCAAAGAGCTTGCTCCATTTAAATTACTCCACTCTGTATTGTTGTGATTGTTCACTTTTGTTTCTTTGTTTTGTTCTTGTCTGAGTACAGCTAAACTGCACAAAACTAAATATTGCATGACATGATCCCAGTGTACAAATTTCACATATTAATTTATGTACCTTTTCTCTTCTCTAAAGCCCTCATCATTCTATGTACATGAACACTCAGATATATCTGATACGACTTCCCTGATCCTGTTGGCTGCATCCCACATGCCTGTCCTTCCCTTGCAATTCCTGAAGCATTTAGAAGATATGGGAATTTGCTTGAAAGTTCTATACCAAACTACCTGCCAACCTTCACTCTTTGGGAACTGAATTCAATACTTGTCTTGTTACTGAACCACACACTGCTGAATGATGTTACTTAATAGCAGCTTCATTCTAGTGCCCAGGGGGTTTATAAATATCCACAAAACAAGGAAAGGACCCCATCTCAAAAATCCTTTCATATCCTCCTCAAAGCACAGCAGTGCTATGCACACAGCATGAGCTTAAACCCTTGCTGGGTAAACCCATTCCCAACCTCCCTGCAAATGCCTCTCAGACAAGCCATCTCTTTGGAATTTGGAAGTATCTAATGCACTTCTGGCACAGATGTCTTAAGAGTTCCTCTAGTAGATGGGACTAGAGTTGAAGGTAGATTTGGTCAGAGTGACCAAGATCTCCCTCTTGACTCTGCCCAGACGAGGGGCCCAAGACTTACTTCTTCAGCACTTGGACCATGCCTCATTTATTCCTGGTTCCTTGGTCTCTGGCACTTGGTTCAGCACACAGCTGGCACTCAAGGAGCAGTCACTAAATGGAGAAATTATCTCCAAGACCCATGCAACTTAGTGGTTTTCCTTTAGGCTAAATTCCCTGTCATCTAGAAGGCAAAAGGAAACCCCGAAGACTAACTATGTCCAGCCCAAAGACTAGTAAAACTAAAAACTTAATTTCAACATGGAACTTGGCAACTTCCTGCCAAACTAAACAACTTAGTGCTGCAGATCACAAAATTAAACTCATTACCACCTTTTCTCTAAACCTCTGCTTCAACTTCACTACTTCTATGAACAACACATCCATTTATCCAGACCCACAACAAGCTGAACAAGTCTCTGCCCTTCCTGGCCTATTAAAAATCCAGGTTCCCAAGTTCTTCTTACTGTCCCTTGATCTCTCAGAAGTAACACTTTGTTTCCCTTTCACTCTTCAAACCATCCATGCACAAGACCTCAACTGAAGCTTCACCCTAAGGCATCTGGCCTTCCTAACTCCAACCTCTCTCCTCTTTCACATCCAGATCCTGCATACCATCATTAGGCTATTGTTTATTAAGTGCTATTTTCAACCAATCTGTCCTCTGCTCAATACTTCCCACTCCTGAGACTGTCAGTCTGTGCTCTTCTGTTACAATATGACACAAGCCCATCCTCACTCTGAGATTCCCGGAACTCAGACTAATCCTCCTGCCTTGGCTAGGACAGTTGCTATATCCCTTCCAGGAACATGTAACATGCTCTGCCATTTCAAAACTTTGCAACAGTCTCAACCTCTGCTTATACAAATTTCATCCATCCTCTGACATAAATTTTCCCCAAAGTCCAGCCTCACTGTACTCCAGCCCACCCCCAGAACAGACTTTAGCCCTCCTATACTACTTCCCAGTTGATTCATTGACAATCTCTTCTGTGCTGAAAGTTAGGACAGCTGCCAAGGAAGACCAGTCACTCAGGTGACCTTGTCCAAACTTCCAGACTTTTGAATCTCATAGGACTGTTAAGACAAAATGAGAATTGACATAAGGGGCATTTGTTCATCTCGCTCTCTATATATGAAGGCCCTCCAAGTGAAGGATCTAACACCTGCCTAGTGCAGTATTTTTCATCATTCACAACTCTACAGAACTAAAATAAGTATCAATTAAATGTAAAACAATAAAAAGGAGAACAGGCTTTTCATGAAACACTTGTCTTCACATCCTACTTTTGGCCACTCAGGAACCTCTCTGGCACAAAATTACAAGTGACTGAACAAATACTGAGGAGAGAGGTTTAAAAGGGGGAAACAGCTGTGCTGGGGCAAATCTGATGGCAAGGGCCTCAGTCAAAAGGATGCCACAGTCCGATCAGTGGGGATGCAAACAGGGTCAAGGCGGATAAAAATGCAGGCGGGCAAAGAACGCTTCGGACCATAAAACTAGGGCCACCTTTATTCCCAACTTTCACGTCCATTGATGCTAGAAGCCCTGCCAGAGGCCTGCTGAGATTCAGGCGGTTGTGAAATCAAATCACATCTCACCAGACCCGGGCAGACCTAGATAACGTCGGCTCAGCCTGGGGCCGCCTCTCCCGTCAGGGGCCTTACCAATCGAGATCTCCTGCGCGAAGGCCAAAGAGATAAGCAGCAGCGGCAGCCCCACAGCGATGCATGTGACCATCTTGTCCACCGCTAGCTCCAGTCGTAGCCCCTTAAACTTGGGCTCGGTGGGCTCCTTCAGCAAGAAGTCTGAGAACACGTACTCCGTGGCCAGGTGGGCAATAGCCATGGCTACGGCGCGCTGGGTTTGTCCAAGCAGGCTAACTGGGGCAGGTCCGGGTACCGGCGGCGTCTGGAGGGCCGCACGACGCCTTCACCCCGTCACCGGCCTGGTGGGAGGCTTTCGCTTTCCCTTTGCTGGCTCCCGCATCCTTCAGCCTTTGCGCCTTGGTGTGTCTGGCTCCCAGCGACTCGGCTGGAGCCACAGTTGCCTGGGATCAGCGCCTGGCCAGGCACCTCTGCGGCCAGGGGTCTGGATCCAAAGCTCTCCCAGGTGCAGCAGTCCCGCCCCCGCGCGCTCAGCCTGCGCTTCTCCCCGGGGGCGGGCGACACCCGGGCTCCGCGCCACTCGCGCACGCCGCCCGCAGGCACTACAACCAACTCGGGAACAAAGCACTTCCCTCACTTCCCCGCCCCTCCGCGCGCCCCAGCCGCCAAAGCTGCCTCCCGGAGGCCCTGCGCCCTCAGCCCGCAGCGCCGCGCTCTTCCGGAACCTAGAGGGAAACCGAGTACCCAGGGGCGTGGAGTTTCCGGAAGACACGCTGACGCGCAGCGGAGTGGGCGCGGCTGCATCCCGCCCCCTGCCAGAGTCCTGGGGAATAAGCAAAGGGTTCATCCCCCGTAGTGGCCCCTCTGGAAAAATCTCCTTCCCTTCCATCCACTTCCTGGCATTTGAGATTTTTCAGATCATTTCTGCAAGTGGCCCCTTCCTTTGTGCACAGGTAGCCCCCTTTTGTGCTCCATCCCCAAAATGTCTACATGGTGAAATCAGATTAAAGGGGACTGTAACGACTTCATCATACAACGATGCCAAAATAAGGCAAATCGAACGAGCTGGCGCTGGACCCTTCCAGGAACCCCGCTTGAGAGGGAGACCTGAATTGGGAGTAAGCGCTGTGTGACTGTGTCTTAGACCAGGGTTAGCCTGTATCCTTTCCTTCCAAGTCATAGCCGCAGTCTGGGAGCCAGCAGAGAAGTGTCTACTGGTGAGTGGGGGCTACATAAAGCTGCTTCTGAACCCCTAACAGGGAGTGGATGATGAGAAAGAAGAAAGGAAATACTTTGACCACCAACACTGGGACCAGGCAGGGCTTTTAAACCTGAGGGATCCTTGAAATGAGGCTCATCTGCCTTCTCTGTTCTTTGTGTACTCGCACATCCATGAATGTAAGCCTCAAAACTCTCACATGTTCTTCTCCATCCTGGTGTCCTCTAAACACACATCCAAGGGCCTACACAATCCTTCAGCTGGGTTGCTTATAGGACTTCAATCATAATGTCTCCTTAAACCTGAACTCTTCCCCATCTTATTAAATGCACCACCATCCACTGATGTGCCAAAGCAGAAACCTGGATTGCCATCTTTAACTCACCTACCTCTCCCAGCTGCCACAACTGATTTCCAAATTCTCTTGCTTCTCTAAATATAGCAAATCTGACAGCTCTCCACCTGAATGGAACATCCCAATTCAGCCCATCATCCTTTCTCCTAACTACATACAAAAATGTCTCCCCAAACCCACCAAGTCATTCTCCCCGACGGCTGCCAGAGGGAGATTTTTAAAGCTCTAATCTCATCATAATACTCCTCTACTTAAAAGTACATTTTCTTTTAGGTTAAAATCCAAAATTCTGCCTGGGTGTGGTGACTCATGTCTATAATTCCAGCTACTCCAGAAACTGAGACAGGAGGATCCCAAGTTCTAGGCCACCTTGGGCAATTTAGCAAGTCCCAATCTCAAAAATAAGTGAATAAAAATAAAATAAAAGATTGGGGATATAGCCCAGTGGTAGACAGCTTGCCTAGCATGTGGGAGGCTCTGGGTTCAAACCTTAGTACTTTAAAAAATTTTCTTCTTTTCAAATTCCGTAGCAGGACCACTCACTACCTATCCACTATTTTCACTCCTCCTCTTTCAGTTCTTCAAGTTATTTAGGCCCCTTGCTTGGCCTTCTTCAGGCCTTCCCCAGTCCAAAACACTACCCACAGTGGCAGCTTTGCCTGTCTCACTCTCACAACTCCTGTTCTCAGCTCAGTGCCCAGAAAAGCCTTCCTCAGTAGACTGC